GTGCACCTGTATGAAGAAGTGGATGCAGGTGCGTGCCAACTGCAGTTGCCGGGCCGGAGCTGCGCCGTCCCCCGCCGCCCCTGTGGACCAGCCCAGCCCAGCCCAGCCCAGCCCAGCCCAGCCCAGCCTCGGCTCAGTCTGTGACCTGGTGATGGGCAAGGCCTCCTGGGCCTCGCCTCCCGCGTCTGAAAACTCGGGTGCTGGAAACAACCCCTTGCCATCTTTCTCACAGGGAGCTCTCTGACTGGTGTGGTCGCCACTGGGCCCAGCGAGGGAAGGGGGCCTGTGCTGGCCTTTTTCTGTTGTGTCTGGTAAACGTCTCAAGGCGAGCCCTGACGCCCGCCCCACCCCGCGCAGGGCCCGGGCACCCCTGGCTTTGGTTAAAACCCTTGGGTCTGACTCTCAGGAAGACTGGTGTTTTCACTCTCAGGTGCTTCACGTGAGTTGTCTTAGGTGGACCTCACGACACCTTTGTGCTTGGGCCTGGCGGCAGGCTGTGGGGGGGATTGGCTGCCTCCTCTTTGCCCGTGAGGCTGGGCAGTAAAGGGACTCGGCCTCCGAGGTGAAGCTGGAAGCTGCGGTCAGCACCTCCCACTGCGAGGACTCGGGCCTTGCGGTGAGAAAAGGCTTTTGGAAGTTGGGACCTGTGCTCTGTGGCTTGGGAGATCGGGTGTGTCAGTTGCAGGTCTCGAGGCCGGAGCACCCACCTCCAGGCCCCGGGGAAAAGAGCCCCAGATGGAGCCCCTGACAGTGATGTCTCTTTCCCAGTAAGGCCTCCGCGCCGGCTTCCCATGCTGCTGTGATGGCGGCCTGTGCCCACCAGAGGGCGCCAAGGCCCGGCGCCGCTCAGGGGGCTGGGCTCTACGAACTCAGATTCTTTTTAATTGAAAATTTTTTTAATTCAAAAAGGATTTGCTGTTTGTACGCGGGCGCAGGTTTTCCTTATGCGGGAGACTAATGTCTTGCGTAAACAGATCTGGGCCCAAATCCGCCTTCAAAGGTACTCGCTGTTTGCCCGAGGGAGTGAAAGGGCTTCCAGAAGCGGCCCTAGTCTCTTGGGCAAACACTCGGGGGCCAGCCATCCCCGGCAGGGGACAGCGTCTGTGGGAAGAGTTATCCGCAGCCTAAGGGGGATTATGTCAGGGGACATATGTTGAAATTTCATTTGGGGAGTTAGCGAAAACAAGGGCGGGGGGGGGCAGCCACCCTTTTCTCCAGCCAGTGCAACCTAAAAAGGGGAAAATCTCAAGGGCAGGGGTGGGGGCGGGAACAGCAGGCTGTGCTCCGTGCCCAGGTCCCTGGAGCTCTGGGGGGCGGCCGTGTGCTTGGGCCGTGAGTCGGGGAAGGCAGTGTGTGCTCCTCTCCCTGCCCCCCACCCCCTACCCACCCCCCCCCGCCCCAGACCTAGAGAGACAGGAGTTCAGCCGTTTGTCCTAGGAGTCCTATCTGAGCCCCCCTTCCTAGGGACCCTGTCCCTGCACTGCCACAAAGACTGGCCTCAGTTCTCCCCACTACGGCCTGGTCAGCACTTGCATGCCCAGGCTGGGAAATGTCCTGTCCCTCCCCCCCCCCCCCCACCACCCACCCTGCCATCAAGAAAGCTGCAGCACCCTTCACTGGGGCCTCTCCTGCCGGCACCCAGGGCCGCAGAGGGCCCAGGCCCCTGGGTGCAAACAGTTGGGAGCTGCCACCTCCAGCTCCTTTCACGGGCCCTCTGTGCCGACCAGCCCCCAGCAACTCAAGGCAGCCCGACTGCCCACGTTGGCCCCGCCGCCCCAGAGCCCGGCACAGAGGCTGCATGGTGGGTCCCCCAAAGCCTCCCAGAGGGGAGGGGCCACGCCCGGGGGGTCTGGGCGCCTGGCGTGGGTTGCTCCCTCCCTTGAGAGGCACCTCGCCTCTCTGCTGCCCCAGGCAGGGTCTCCCAGGCTGGTCTCAGAGCAGCCGGAGGGAAGCCCCCAGCCCCCACCTGGCCCCCCTCAGTCTCTTGGTGCTCATCCCAGGTGCCAGCCCTGAGGCCTTGCGTGCGTGTCTTGAAACATCGCCACACCTGTAAGGCCGGCTGCCCTGGCCCCAAGTGCTTCCAATTACCGTGCCTTTATCTCTGGTTCCGTGTCTCCCAGCTGAGTGGCTCCCCCCACCCCACGTGCTGCTTGGGGACCACTCCCAGCTGCTGGCAGGAACACTCTCATGTTCTCCCACCCAGCCTTCTCTCCCTCCTGTGTTGCTCGTTGGGTTAATGGGTCGTGCCCAGGTCTCTCCCTTGCCACCTCATGCGGCTCTCCTCTGGCCCCAGCGCTGGGTGGATGTAGTGGGTGCTGAGGGAGCCGATGAGGGACTGCTTCCTGCTGTGATGCACCCAAGCAGCCACGAGGTGGCGGTATTGTCCCAGGCTTTGCCCCCGGTCCGCCGCCTCCAGAGCCACACTGGTTTGCCAGCCCTGGGAGCTGAAATCCCCGGGCCCTGGCCCTGGTCACCAGAGAGCAGAAAAGTGACCGGCTGGGTGCTGCTGTGATTCTGCCCAGTGGCCAACAGATGAGCAGCAAGTGTTTGCCTGGGGTTGGGGTGGGTGGGCCCTCGCCCTACTGAACCTCGTTGTGACCCCATTTTTTAATTGAGGTGTAATCGACATGACACTGTATTTTCATTTCCGAGGTACAGTATAGTCAGTGTTCGTATGCATTACAAAATGGCCAGTCTGATTAACATCTGTCACTACAGTTACACGTTTTTTCTTGTGATGAGAAGTTTTAAGATTGACTCTTAGCGACTCTCAAACGTGCAGGACGGTGTTACTGCCCACAGTGAGCTCTGCGTTGCTGCCCTGGGACTTACTGTAACTGGGAGTTTGGGCCTTGACCCTCATGGCCCAGGGACCCACCCAGCCCTGCCCCCTGCCTCAGGCGACCACCGCCCTCTTCTGTTTCTGTGAGCTTGTTGGGGGCTTTCTGTGTCTTTTTTTTTTTTTTTTTTAGATTCCACATGTAACTGAGATCATATGATGCTTTTCTGTGTCTGCCGTATTGCACTTAGCATAACGCTGCCACAGATGGCAGGATTCCATTCATCTTATGGCTGAACAATACTCCCCCTGCATAGACCCCGCTCTTTCTCTACCCGTTCACCTGCTGGGGGCGGCCGGTGGTCTCCCGCTGGGCCACCGTGAGTGGTGCTGCCGCCATGAGCACAGGGGGGCTCGAGTCCCTGTTCTCTTTGCCTCTGGGTGAGAACTCAGCAGTGGGGCTGCTGGATCGTGGGGCAGGTCCGGCGTGGGTAGTGTACGGGGTCCGCGCTGCCTGTCCCAGCGGCTGCACCCGTGCACGGCCCCCCCAGCAGTGTGCATGGTCTCCCCCTCATGCACGTCCATGCCAGCGCCTGTCACCTGTCGCCGTGACCCTGCTTCTCCTCAGGTGGGGCCACCAGGGTTCACCGGCAGCAGCAGCTCCTCCTCCCCCACCCCACCTGGCGACAGAGGCCGTCTGTAGGGACCACAGCCCCGTCTTCGGTGTCACTGGGGTCTGTGGCTCCAGGGGCCACTGGAGGCTGCTCCCTCCGCTGTTCACGCAGGGACAGGGTCCGCCCAGGCCTCACCCGTCCCCAGCTCAGATCTGTGTGTGTCTGTCTGTCCTGAGTTGCTGCTGTGGGGCTGTCAGGCAGGGGGTTAGGGACACAATTAAACCTGAAACCCTCAACTTTCAGCCGTTCCCCTTGCTCTGTGTGGCCCCCAGAAGTGCCTCCTGGTGGAAGGCAGCCCACGGTGGAGGGGGTGCTGGGCAGGCTTGGCCAGCATGCCGCAGGAGGAGGGGGTGGGGCATTTGGAGCACCCTCTGCAGTAGATGCCCCCCTGCTGCTGTGGCTCCAAGAGTCTTGCTACCAGCCCCCTCCCCCCCAACCGCCGTGTCCCGGAGGAGGCGGCTTCGGGTGGTGGCCAAGTCCAACCTGGCAGCTCCGCTTGGCTGATTTAAGTAGGGGGGCCCTTTTAAAGACAATTCTAACGGCTCAAAAGATTCCAGATATTTTAAATGTTTGACAACCAGTGATCTGATCTAGGCTCCTCATTCCCAAAACCTGTGAGACCACGTGGCTGCGTCAGCGTCCTGTTCCAGGCTCTTCCCCTCAGCCCGCCCCCACCCCCGCAGGCCCGTCTCTGCCCGGCCGCACGCCTTACCTGCGCCCCCTTCTGCCTGCCGTGCCCTGCTCGGTATGGAGATGTGGCGATCCCACCTGGTCTTCGAGGTGACCCTCAGGTCCCCGGTCCCCACCCTAGAGGCACCGCCCCTTCTCTGAGCTGCCGTCACACTCAGAACCTGCCTCTGCGCGTGCCGGTGACCCAGGGTCTGGCAGATGAGCCCCCCAGCCTGAAGCGTGAGGGCTGAGCTCTCCTTCAGGGCAGGCAGTTTGGGGGGGGGGGCCGTGGGGCGCCGCCCTCCAGGAGCCTCGGGTCCTCCCAGGTTCGTGAGGGCATCCACACACCCTACGGGGAGTGGCCGCGGGCCCCAGCCAGGGAAGCGTGGGCGGGAGTGTCCCCCAGAGTGAGTGTCGCGGGCGTGCTCAGGGGGCACTTGAGCGGAGCGGCAGACCAGGGTCCCGAGCCTGGTGGCCGTGGCCAGCCTTCGGTTGGATCCGGGATGGAGTCCCGGATCTGCCCCTCCCCAGTGTGGGACTCCTCCCCCAGTAGGACGAGGGCCACCTGCGGGGTCGTGGGAGGCAGGAGGGTGCTGGGCGTGCAGCCCACACGTGCTTGCCGCCGGCATCATGGCTTCGGGCGCCGCTGGTGCTGAGGTCTCACCCTGTGGAGAGAGGGGCGGGGACTGTGAAAGGTCCCGGTCGTCACAGACCAGCCAGGCACCTGCAGTCACAGGGCTGTGTCTGCACACGCGCACTCATGCGCTCGCACAGTTCACGGGCACGGTCTGCGTGCACAGGCGGGGCCTCGACGCGGGGACCCCCCCTCCCCCCCGCGTCCCCCGCACTGACTGTGCTTCTCTGCCCCGCCCCCGCAGTACGAGTACAGCTTCCGCACGGAGCAGAGCGCCGCCGCCCGGCTCCCGCCCAGCCCCACGCGCTGCCAGCAGGCGCCCCAGTCCTGAGGGCCGGACGCCGCCTGCGCCTGCGGGGAGAAGACGCGTCGGCCCAGACTACTGAGCGCCCCGCCCTCGCCCGCTCCCTCCTGCCCGCCCTTCGCAGCGCCCCGCGGGGCTCGTCTGGGAGACCGCGGGCAGCTGAGCGCCTCCATCTCCGGTCATCGGCTGGCCTGAAGGGACAGCCCGTCTTCCCGGGGCTGTGGTTCCTAACCTCGACTAACCCGTGTGCTGTAGTGACCAGCAGCTCCTAACATGTCTATGATGAGCGGCCGCCCTCGAAACAACCCCACCCGCACGGGAGTCGCCCAAGGGCCTGGACAGCTGCTCGGGATGCCCGGCGACACCACCAGCTCCCTTCACTCCCGTCACCTGCCACTAAGCCACCGCCATCCTCCTGGAAGACCCTGAGCGGAGGGCAGCTTTGCACAAGACCCTCCCGGAGCCCTGGTCACCCGGACCCGGGCTGCTGCGGAACGAGCCCCTCGTGCCAACGGCATCGCGTGCCCACAGCGTCTCACGCAGCCCTAGGGGATGAACACAGGAGGAGGAAGCCAGCGGCCCGAGTGGACCCATGCCCGGCCCCTGCTCCACTGTGGATGTCCTGTGCTCGGACCTGTGACCGGACTCACACACTGGATGTCCTGGGGTCAGGGGGCAGCAGGCCCCAGCTGCCAGCACAGGCGGGACTTGCTCTCTGGGCAGTAAGGCCGAGTGCCCGGCGCTTGCTGCCCAGGACGCCGGGCTCACCCACGTCACACCCGCTTCCCCCCAAAGGGCTCGTTTCTGCAGCACCCACGTGCCATCAGCAGTGCCAACGGCTCTGCCCGGTGCTGTGAGCCAGCGCCCGGCCCGGAAGGGCCGCGGCAGGTGCTCACCTGGCTTCTCGGGGCCAGGCCGTGTCCTGACGGCTTGTGCGCCTCAAAGTGGTGGTTTTGACAAGCTCATCCAATCCCAGTCACCGACCGGGGCCGGCACCGACATTTCTGCCACTCACGGCCAGTGGACACAGTGCCAGCTGCCAAGCTCAACTCCACGCACATTTGCCATGAGAACAGGGGTTGCTGCCATGTGTGGGGGCTTGGGCCCTTCCCCCATGGCTGTTGGCGTCTCCCATCTCGGGGGGTCACCAGATGGTCGGAGCTATGCACAGGTTTGGCATGGGGGGCGCCGTGGAGAGCAGTGAGGTTCCCTCACCAGGAAGGTGGCACAGGAGAGCCACAGCCAGGGACAGGCCCCTCCCGCCTGCAGCCCCGGGATGGCACGCGGTTAGCTGGGTGGCTGGGACACAGCGGGAGCAGCCAACAGTCTGGGGAGTGGCCGCCAGCTGAGTGGCAGGGCAGGGCAAAAATACCTCACACACCTGTCAGCCCCGCCCCCTGCAGGCCCCTCTACGCTTGCCCCTGGTCACCCCCTGGTGCGCATGTTGATACTTCCTGATTGCCACGCTTTAGGGAAATGGGGGCCTCGCCTCCCCTTCCCCGGAACCTGAGGGCGTCCCTGGTGAGACTGGCCTCCCCCTGCCTCCCACGCCGCGAGGTGGCAGGAAAAGACTGTTCCTACCAGGGCCCGGGAGACTTTGGGACAGAGACAGCAGTCCCCTGAGGACCTTTGGGACTGGTGCTTAGCCAGGAGTAACGACTGGTCTCAGAGGTACCCACTGAAATAAGCTAGCTGTTTCTGGGGAGGCCCAGAACACGTGTCCGCTGCTGCTTTATGGATGTGTGGCTGGTTCAGAACCAAGCGACCTGTGTGACTGGAAGCCCAACAGCCAGAGGTACTGCCCAGCTGGGGGGGGGGGGGGGCGGGGGGAGCCCTGATCCGTCTGTCCAGCTCGCTGGATCGGGCACTCCCTCCCTCCATCGTCGGTTGTGAGCTTGTGTCTGACTGGTAGCGCCGCAGCCCTCCTCCCCTGACTGACAGCCAGGCCCTGCAGCCGCTCTGCTGGGCCAGAGAAACTTCAAATACAACAACGTGGGGCCCGGTGGGGAGGGTGGTCGTCAGTGAGAGGAGGAGGGTGTCCACAGCTCCCCACTCACGCCCCGGGGGGACTCCGGCGAGCCAGGAGACCGCCCCAGCCTCACAGACGAAGTCCAGGTAGTAGCGTTGGCTGTGAGCGTCGAGATGCTCGGCGGCCTGAGGCAGGCCGGCAGCGCGGTGTCAGCAGGCTGGCTGCGTGGTGCACGTTCGGCTGCCGCTAACCCTGTCTCTCTGCCTTGTGAGAGGGCGGTGAGGTCCAGCAAGGGCGCGGGCAGCAGCGGGCTGGGGCTCTGGCTCCCCCTGCACACCGCATGGCCTGTTTCGCTCTGGGAGGGCCCCTTGCAGACCGTCCGGCCAGGTGGGGAGGGAAGGGAGGGTTTTCGTGGAACAGCGAGCGGCCTTGCCCTCAGCCCTCCAGCACCCTCTGTCCCCCCAGAATACCCCAAGCAGAGCACAGCGCCCCATTGCCTTCACCTCCCTCTCAGAGCTCAGAATCGCCCCCAAAGGCCTTGGAGGTGGCACCGCGGTGACAGGGAGAGCGCACTCTGCTCCGGGCTCACTGGCAAGTTTATGACAAGGCCTTTCCCCGCCCCACGTCCAAGAACTGATCCTGGCTGCAACCCCTCCACCTGGAGAGGAGAGCGCCCCCCAGTGGGAAGAAACAGCGCGTTAGCCCCCAGGCTGCCTGAGCCTCCCCCACCCCCGTTGGGAGGGTTGCAGCCTGTCTGCCCACCTCGCTGGTGACACGCGGTTGGTGGTGAGAAGCCACTCAGGTTGGTTGGGGACTGTTGTCCCACCACCCGGCGTCCTTCAGAAAGGCGGGGGCAGGACAGGAAGAACCAGCACACACTCTGCCCACACTCCGTGGCATATTAAGCACATTTTTCTCCTGTCATTCCCCCCAAAACCATACCCACCCAGAAGTGGATGTGGGTTGCCCCGCATCACAGATGGGGAAGCTGAGGCTTGTCCGAGGGCACAAGGCTGGTGAGCGGCAGAGGCAGTTTTGGACCCGAGTCCCACGGTGCCAGCCATCCCAACATAAGCACATGCCTCACGAGGGCCTTTCAGTCTCTGGTCCAGGAGTGGACGTCCCGGCCGCCACCGCTCACGCTGCTGTCGCCGGGGCGCTGTGAAGTGGGCGGGTGCTGAGCGCGGGGCGGAGCCCGCCTGCCCGCCCGCTCGCTCCACCCAGACGAGGGCTCCCCGGGCTGCTGGCTGCCCCATCATCGGGCATTTGTGGGGCGGCCCGGCCTGCAGTTCCTCTGAGAACCGGGGCCCCGAGGACGAAGGCAGGGGGAGCCCTCGGCAAAGCAGCCGCGTGCCTGCACGGTGCACAGGAAGCGCCCGCACCCGTGCTCCCACCCCCGCATCGCCTGGCGCCCCTAGGTCAGCCTGGCTTCCGTCACGTGTTGTGGGCGTGGCCCTGCGGCAGCTGCTGCTGTCACCACCGTGAGACGGGTCCGTTCCCCCAGCAAGGGGCGCACGCTGCTGTGGGGCTCCCCCGACAGCCACTGTGCACTGGCCGTGGGAACGGTGTCCTTCCTGCGAGTATTTATTTGAGGTGACTCTTGTACTTGGCAAAGGGAAGTTTCACTGTGTGATTGTCTGTCTTCTTAATATAATTTGTTAAATAAATGTTTGTTTTAACCTTTCCCTGGCTTGCTGCCGTCTCTGAAGCCACCCAAGATAGCGTCCCTCTGGCCTCCAGCTTGTCCCAGACACTGGCCGGGCCAGCCAAGGGCTCAGGGAGCAGATGGCCACCACCCGCCTGCCCTGCCTCTCCTGAGAGCGCCGGCGGGCCGCTGCGCCCCGCTGAGCCCAGAGACCTGGTCACAAGCCAGCAGGAGGCGGAGGGGCCAGCCGAGCCCTGCCCTTCTCCGGCACCAGCCCTCAGGAATGCTCCTGAAGGGGAAACACCCCAGTTGCTGTACAAGCCTGAAGCGCGTGCATTTCAGCGGGTCACCGGCGAGGAATGCGGGCTCTTTCATCTGCGCCTGCCCCGGAGCCGTGTCTGGGCGGGTCCAGGGGGTCCGGCTGCCGGGAGGACGCAGCAGCTCCGTGGTTTCCATCCTGCCCCGACCGCTCACCTGCTCGCAAGACGCCGCCCCAAACGCCAGGGAGGGGCTGCAGGGCCCCGGGACACGCAGAGGCTCCCGGGAGGGTGAAACCCGCCAGTTCGTGTTTCACCATCAAAGTGCTATGCCTCCACAGGTGGCCTCTGCATTTTGGGGCCGAGCTGCCACTGCCTCCAGCCCTGCTTCCGCCAGACGCCCGCGAGGCCGGGGCGACCCTCGGCTCACGGGGTCTCAGCTCACTGGGACCACCAGAGTCCCCACAGAGTGTCAGCACCCCCCGCCCAGGCCCCAACCGTAGGCGCCTCCAAGAAGAAAAGCCCCCCGAGATTTAATTCCATGAGAAACCCCCAAAGAAGTCTGGCTCTGCCACTTACCGCCCACGTGACCTTCCACTCGTGACCCAGCGCCTGTCAGAGTGGGGACTGTGCCTTCCTTGGGCAGATGGTGCGAGGACGCTCGAGGGGCATTTAGCAGGAGCAGAGCCCAAGGGCCCGTGGCCTCTCTCCGGGGCCTGGGTTCTGCGTGGCCATCCAGAGCACCTGCTGGGGCACTAAGCAAGTGCGAGTGCGGCCTCTGACACCCGGGGCCCAGGGTCTTGTTTGCAGGGGGCCTCGGGCACTGCTCGGGAAGGCAGGCAGACGCATGGATGCAGGGAGCCCCAGAAGAGGCACCTCACACACTGGCCTTCGGGCAGGAAGAAAACCAAGGCCCATACACGACAGCCAAGGCCAAGGCCAAGGCAGGGTGAGTAGGTAGACCCAGAGGATGCCCAGAGCCCAAAGTGGGACCCAGCGGAGCCCCAGAGAGGCCAGAGCCAGTGGCCCCTGTTTCCCCTGTCCTGCCCACACTGCCTGGTCTGCCACTACCTGGGTGTCTGCTTGCTGCTCATCCTCTCACGCTCTGGCCCTCTCTCTCATGTGCTCTGTACACCAGCATACATGGCACACGCATGCATGTGTTCACACAGCCACCCAAATTCATGCATTCTCGGTTCAGAATTTCCAGAGGCAAGAGAACCAGGGCAGACTCGGATTGGCTGGCCCGGGTCAGGTGACCCCTTCTGCCCCTGATTGCTCTGGCCCAAGTGGGAGGGGGAGTATGTGATCACAGAATATGATCTGGGTTTGGGTCCTAGAGAGGCATCTGCTACAGAGGAAGGCAGGACCACGGGTGGAGGGATGGGAGACCTTCCCAGGGAGACAGAAGAGCACCCCGCCAGCCCCTGTGAAACGAGGGACGACGGTGAGGTGAGTGACGTATCATCCCCTCTTTCATCTGTCCACTTAGCCGTTCAACACCGGTGAGCGCCTTCTGTGTGCAGGCTCGGAGCCGGGCGCTGGGGATTCGCAGTGACATCCCTGTCCTCGTGCAGCTGATGGTGTAGCCTGTCCCCGCCTCCTCGCGTGCACACACCCCAGCCATGTCTGTCCTGTCTCTCCCCCTGCTCAGCCTATTTTGCCCCAAACTGGCTCACCCCTAAAACTCTGAGCTTCCCCAAGCCCCACCCTCGCCTCTGTCTCCCGTTTCTGCATCCTTCCAGCGGCTGGGAGCAGCCCATGCCTCTAACTGTGCTGACCTCCTTCACTGGCCCACAGTGACCCAGCTCCAGCAGCGACCTGGAGGTTCCCCCTTGACCTCAGCATAGCCCGAGCTGAATGTGCCGTCTTCCCCCAAGCCCCAAACGGCTCCCCTTCTGACTGCTGCATCTCTGGAACAGCTCTGCTCCAGAACAGCCCTGCCAGAGTCACCCACGCCACCACCCGGAGCCATCTGCGGTCACCCCCATTGCCAGCTGGACAGCTCTCTCATCTAAAGTTGTTTTCAAACTCAGTCACTCTCTTCCTGATGCTCCTTTAAGTTCTGGCCCTGGAGACTGTTTACAGCAGCAACCCTGTAGCCACCCCCCCGCCGCCGCCCCCCCCCTCCCGTCTTCCCTTTCCCACCCAGCCAAGCTCCCTCTGACCAGACCGCACCTACTGAGTGAAGTCTGGGTCAGGTTCCCACACCCGACTGCCTGCACCGACCTCACCTCCCTCCGGAGCCCAGCCGAGCCTCCCCCTGACCTCCCCACTGCACAGTGCGGTTCCTCAAGCCCTAACCTCTGTGCTTCTCTGCCTTTGCATATGCTGTTCCCTCCGCCTAGAATGCTTTTCTGAATTGAGAAACTTGCAGAACGCAAAATCAATATACAAAAATCATTTGCTTTCCTGTACACTAATGATGAACTGTCAGAGAAATTAAGAAAACAATCCACTTACAATTACATCAAAAAGAGTAAAAGACCTAGGAGTAAATTTAACCAAGGAGGCGAAAGGCCCGTACACTGAAAACCATAAGGCGTTGACGAAAGACATTGAAGGCGACAAATATGGAAGATATTCCATGCGTGTCGGTGGTTAGGATTAATCCCGGGAGGATGAATAGTGTTACAAAGTCCATCCTACCCAAAGCAACCTACAGACTCCATTCAATCTCCAAAATTCCAGTGGCGTTCTTCACAGAAATCGAACAAACAACCCTAAAATTCATACAGAACCACAGAAGGCCCCAAATAGCCGCAGCGGTCTTGAGAAAGAACAAAGCTGGAGACAGGATGCCCCCTGATTGCAAACTGTATTACAAACTACAGTAACCTAAAGTATGTGATATATGGTGTCGGCACAGAAACAGATGCATAGATCAGTGGCACAGAACAGAGGGCCCAGAAATAAACCATGACTCTATGGTTCAATTAGTTTATGACAAAGGAC